GTTCGATAGGAAATGTACTCATTATCTTGCCCATGTAATTGTAACCCCTCTGTACAGTATTTTCACAATAATAAATAAATAAATAAATGAAATACCCCTCACCATTTTTGTCATGTGAGGTTATAGTGAAAAGATGACCATCTATCTATGAGGAATGAGTCCTCACCAGTCACTAAATCTGCCTGTGACTTGATCCTGGATTTCCCAATCTCAAGGACCATAAGCATTCAACTCTTGTAGTTTATCAGTCACTTGGTTTAGGGCACTTTGCTACAGCAGCAACAATAGACAAAATTCCTGTGAAAACTCCTTATTTCCCTGAGATGCTGAGTTATACACACTGAATATTCTTCCCAGTGCCTGGCACATAGTAGGCACTGAAGGAATATTTGATGAATAATGAACTTGGCCAAATTGCCTTCCAGCACCATTGTGAAAACTTAATGAGTAGGGTGTGCTATTGGCATTCAGGTCCTTCAAACATCAATTATTTCTTCCATATAAAATTATACCTCATTTTGGCTTTTTAGAAGTACATTGAAATTTTTTTCATACATCTTAGTGACAATTTCTTTCAAGAATTCTCTATTCAAGCCTTATGCTCATTTTTCTATTAAAATTTTCTTCCTCATTTGTAAGACTTCTTGTCACAGGCAAGCAACATTTTTTTCCAGTTTGCCTTTTAAGTGTTTTAATGATTTTTTGACAGGCAGACATTGTTAAAATTTATATTGCCTCATCTCTCATCCTTTTTTTTCATGACTTACTGAAGTGCACAGTTCAACTGGTAACATGATATTGCACCACTGAATATACTGATATGTTTAATCAGGACCTTCTTTTTTAAAAAAATTTTTGGGGGTCCGGTCGTGGGGCCTGAACTCTGGGCCTGGGCACTGTCCCTCAGCTCTTCAGCTCAAGACTAGTGCTCTACCACTTGAGCCACAGCGCCACTTCCAGCTTTTTTTTCTTTTTGCTTATGTGGTGCTGAGAAATCGAACCCAGGGCCTCAGGCATGCAAGGGAAGTGCTCTACCACTGAGCCACCTTCCCAGCCCAATCAGTACCTTCTTATGAGTTACATGGATTCCAGGTTTGTTTTTCTTATAATGGCAACATGTTGGCTCTCTGTACCTAAGTCCTAGAAGTGTAAATATCATATCCAAGAATGTTTTTAAAGTTCTTGTATATTTGACAAATTACTAATGGAATCCTAATGCCCCAGGTGCAGCTCATTCCCCAGGACTCACACTGCAGACCTTCTCGTCTCCGGAGCCACACTAGTGTTCTCATGATCTGTGTCCCCAGGCTTTGTTGATGGAGCTCTAATGAGTTAACCTGTATAGCAGCAAGGAGGGTGAATGGGCTGAAAACAGATGTTCAGGGGGAAAGGGAAGCTGTGCACAACACTTCAGGTGCCTCTTCTGCTGGAATGCTTTTCCCTGTGATTTCCTCACCTTCTTGGGATTTAGGTTTCCCTTCAAATAGTAAGAGAGCCCCAGCCTTACCCCTTTTTGTAATTATTCCAATTGTATGTATATTTTCCAATTATTTGTAATAATTGCAATTATTTTTATGTTATTAGTATACATTTACCAATTATTTGTACTTACCCAATGATTCTCTAATAATTATGCTGGGTTGTTCTTCACTAATGGCATTTATTATAACTTAACATTATCTCATTAATTTTTAGGGTTTTGTAAGAAATGTTTAGTTATTAAGTCAGTTCACCGAGAAAATGGTATCATTTTTCTCTAGAAGATAGAAAATATAGCAGGCTTGTTAACTTACTACTGTGTATTTGGGTCCTTGTCAAATAGTTTTTTTTGTTTTTTGTTTTTTTGGGGGTGTCAGGTCGTGGGGCCTGAACTCTGGGCCTGGGCGCTGTCCCTCAGCTCTTCAGCTCAAGGCTAGTGCTCTACCACTTGAGTCACAGCGCCACTTCCGGCTTTTTTCTTTTTGCTTATGTGGTGCTGAGGAATCGAACCCAGGGCCTCAGGCATGCAAGGCAAGTGCTCTACCACTGAGCCACCTCCCCAGACCGTCAAATTGTTTTTAATATAGATAATAGAATGTAGTTGTGAATATTGGAGATTATTGAAATCCACAAATACAACTCTCATTTATTAAAGTGTACTATAAGAACTCACCTAAAATTGTATGTGTAGAGTGTGTGAGTGTGTGTGTATGTGTAGAAACACCAGGTCGTTTTACCAGTAGTTCAGAATAGATGGGTTTTACATCAGCTTGCAATTCTTGCACTTCTATTACTTTACTATAGAAATGTTACATGGAACATTGTAAAATTTTGCCACTTGAGAATAGAACAGCACACAACTAAGACTTTCCAGGAACTCATTTAACTTAAAGTCTCTAAGTTAGTGGATCTTGAATTTTCTGTGCCACTGTCACTTACTAAAATATATATTGTACTCTTAATGAAGTCTTATATATAAAATAGCATATTCCAAAGGGGAATGTCTCTCCACAGAACCAAGAGACTTCAATGTGCAGACAGGTTTGAGAGCTACTGGCATAGAAAGGTCTCAGTGATATTAACTGATAGATGACTGAAGTACATTGTAAATCAGAAACCTGGCCTCGGCCAGAAATCTGACACTGCCACGCAACTGATGCCAGAACATCTTTTAAGATTCTTTCCTGCTATGGAACTTCATGATCTCCTTCTTGGTCAAAGCAAGAGCCCTGAGTGGAACGGGGAGGAGTCTAAAAACCACATGATTGTAGCTTTAAAGAAATCTTCAAGGCAATTGCTGGTGGCTTATGCCTGTAATCCTACCTACTCAGGAGGCTGAGATCTGAAGATCACAGTTTGAAGCCAGCCCTGGCAGAAAAAGTCCCTGTAAGACTCTTATTTCCAGTTAACCACTCAAAAACCAGAAGTTGTGGCTCAAGTGGTAGAGCACTAGCCTTGAGCAAAAGAGCTCAGTGACAGCACCCTAGTCCTTAGTTCAAGCCCCATGACCAACAAATACAAACGAACAAGCAAACAAAGAACACACAGAAATCGTCATCCCAGATAAAGAGTGTTTTAACAAGAAGCTCTTTACAGTGTTACCATTTTACCCCCAAACTAAAAAGTATTTGGGAAGCTCCAGAGAATCTTACAATTAGAAGAACACCACACAACTCTGATATTCAATATGCAAAAAGACAGAAAAGACTGATTCTTATTCTTGTATTGATGTGTATGGGGTTAGTAGGCAACAGAGAAGGGGGAGAATACCCCACTTATCAGAGAGAGTCTTTACAAATCTCCTTTCCCCTTTAAAAAAATGGTTTTCTTCAAGACTGTGCAGGGGTTGTTTTAATTTTAATTTTATTGTCAAGGTGAGGGGTATAGAGGGATTACAGTTACATAATATAGTGAGCACATTTCTTGTAGAACTTGTTACCCCCTCCCTCATTTTTCTCTCTGCTTCCCTCCCCCTTCTCCCCCCAAGTTGTACAGATCATTTCCAACATAATGTCTTGTGAGTATTGCTGTTGCATTGGTTTTCCCATTCCTTTCTTAAATGAATGCTGCTCAATCTTCCTTTACAGCTGTGATAGCTGTTTCACTGATACCTTTTTTTTTTTTAATGGCATGCTGTTAACTGAACTTTGCGACATAGACACTAAGTAAAATGGGAGTTTCTTGGTGGAAAAGCTCATGTTTATTTAAAACGTTGCAAAGGCATTTACACACAGAGGACCTATGATATAGGCTGCCTAAATTAGGTTATCCCCCCAAGCCCTTTGTTCTGGACTGCTTTATGCTACGCTATTTAGGCTTGCCCACTCTGTGAGGTATTGCTACTCAGCCTGGGCACGGATGATTCTCAGTCCCCATTCTTTCTCAACCGATAACATTTCAGTGAAGGACATTTTCAAGTGTTCAAACATATTTGGAAATCTACGAAGTGGACACCTTAGAAATTTTAGTTTTATTGGCATCACAGTGGGTGAGATGGAGATGTCATACCACCCAAAGGAGAGCTCCTCACTTCAGCATCTGAACTTGCACATTGATTTCTTCAATTATTGGATGGATACGGGGGTGGGGGAGAGGGCGGGCAACACACTGCTTCCTGGATTATTTACTAGCTCATTTGAGAAGAAACTGGTTTGCTCCAGCAACCCACCCCTCCTTTTTTTTTTCCCTGTGAGAACAAATTCCAAGAATACAAAAATAAAAAGAAATCTTCAGGAAAAATGTTTACTTAGTAGACAGTTTTTAAAATAAAAGACATTAAGGAGGCAAAGAAGAAAAAACAAATGTAAGACCCCATCTGATCTCAAAGAGTTCATCGTTTCACACCTCCTCCCCCATCCCCATCTCTTCTATGGCAAAAGATTTCACCTATCACCTCTGTCTCCATCATGAAACCAGGAGAGGCTCGGAAGCCCTTTATGGAGCAGTTAGGGGCTTAGTAAGAATAGAGACAGCTACAGAAGTCCTCGTCCCCAGGAAGACCCAGAAACCTGGGATGTAATGGACCAGGGGATGGGAATGAAGCTCCAGCCGCCGACGCGACGCAGGCAGCAGCCATGAGCAATCCCTCCCTGCGTCCAAACATCCAGAAACTTGCACAGGTGAGCGGGAAAGCGGGCTGATGTGGACTCCTCCGGGCCACCTGCGCTCCGCCCGACTCGGGTGTAGGGGGCTCCCAAAGTTCGGCTGGTGGACAAAACCAGAATCGCTAGGGAGATCCGCTGCCACGAGGAAGCTTAGAAAGGAGGTGGAATGCAAATTGTCCTTAACATGCGGGGGGGGTAGAAACAAACAAACAAACAAGCACGGAGCGCTGGCGGGCGGCGGGGGGGGGGGGGGGGGGGGGCGCGGAGGAGCGCAGACTGCGCAAAGCTCCGGGGCCAGGCAGAACAGGTACAGCGCGTCCCAGCCCCGCCCATCCTCGCCGGCTGGAGTCGCACAGGCGCAGTGGGGCCGCGCTCTCGCTCCACTGCGCATGCTCCGCCGGGCCGCGGTTCCCGGCCGGCAGCGGCGGCGGCGGCAGTGGCAGAGGAAGTTTCCGCTTTGCGCTCCACCCCGGTAGCCGCTTGGCGGCCGGGACGGCTTCCTCCAGGCGCTTGGCGGGGTTCGCTGACGACCTTTGTCACCCCAGTCGGATCATGGGGTTGCCCAAGGGGCCGGGGGGCCAGGGTCTCCCGGAGGTAAGGACCTCTCTTCCTGACACGCCGGGGCTTCTGAGGAGAGGGCCGGGCCTGGGGGCTGCGGGCGCCGAGGGGCCTGCGGGGCCTTGGGCTCACCCCCCACCCCGCTCTCAGGTGTGGCACCGCGAGGGAGGCCTCCCCCGTCCCACCGGGGAGGGGCAGCGCGTCCCCCTGCGTGGCCCGGGCAGCGGCGGGGTGGGCAAACTTGTAGGGATCCGGGTTGTTTCGGGGTTCGGGGGGGCTCTCCAGACGCACGGCTGCCCTGGCGCAGCCCCGAGCGCCGCCGGGGTTCCAGGGCTGCCCTGGGCTGCGCCCCTCTCCCCCCCCCCCCCCCCGGGCTCTGCGGGGACCGTTCTAGGGGCCGACGCTCCCGAGCGCAGCAGTCACGGGACGCGCGCCGGGTCTGTCCGGGTCTGACGGTGTGCAGAGGGCGGTGACCTTGGGAGCCTACCTCCTCCGGCCCCACGGGGTCTCGGGGACCAGCTCCACCCTTCGTGCCGTCCCGAGGCTTCGCAGCTCTCCTGGCATTTGTCCCACCCGGGCTGGAGCAGGAAGTTTGAGAGCCGAGCGTGCACCGGGGAGGTGTCGGTGTGGGGGAACCGCGCTCTCTGGGTTGCTGAGTGGCCACGGACTGAGCCCGGGGCGGAAACATTGCTGCTCCCCCCCCCCCCCCCCCCAGAAAGAAGATGGCAAGTGCCTTTCTAAGGATAGTTGGAATGAAGTAGTGTCTCCATCCCCGAGGGACAGGATCAAACCTCAGTGATTTTATTTTTATTTTTATTGTGAACCTATTGTACAGAGGGGTTACAATTACATGGGCAAGATAATGAGTACATTTCTTATCAAGCATTGCAGCCTGCTCCTTTGTTTACCCTTCACATCCCTACCCAGCCTCCCTCCGTCCTCCCTCCCCCCCCCCCCCCCAAGCCTCAGTGATTTTTACATGTCCCCCACGTTGGCTGGGAATAAAAAGAAATGGCATTTTTTCGTGGGCTGCAGACATCATTCATAGAGGTAGTTGGTGTCAGTCTTCCCTTCCTGTTCGTTTGCTCAGAAGCTAGTGTAGTGTACAATTCCGAAACGAAATGGGAAACGCCTTTCCTATACTGAGGTTGTGATGCAAGCATTGGGCCAGGGACTGATTCCTTGACTTGGACCCGTGTCATGCCTGCCTGTGAATGGCCTTGCTTAAATCCTCAGCTCTTTCACCTTCCTAATTTTCAGAATCACTGTGCTTTATGCCTAGGGAGTGGAAGGACTGTGGGGTCATCAGTGTGGACCAGTGAGGATACAAGTTTATCTTGTTGTAAGAACACTTGATAAGTGTGAGTTGTCAGACCTCCCGCATTAGCTGAAACCTTACATGCACATTCCTTTTAATTTCACCTGGGATAGTGAAGAGTAAGATCTGCCCTGTTATACTTGAAGGATTGTCACTCTTTCATTCTAGCCTTTCTTTCAAGTTTTACTTGAGCTTTTGCTTTTAGATTCTTTTCTAGTCTTCTAATTTCTTCCTCAGTTTCTCCAAGCCAGTGAGGGATTTTCTAAGATAATAAACAATTTGGTCAGAGGCTGGGGCTGATTTGTCATTGACTTCCAAAAGCTTTAGATAGTTCCTGGCCATCAGTAGAAAGTCATGCTGAATATGATCAAATTACTATCAAAGACTAGTCTATCATTAGGCTGTCACTAGTCCAGTTAATTCAATAAACTCAGCTTTCGAAACTCCTTTTGTATGACTGTGAAAGAAAGATAGCTAGGCTTGGCCCTCCTTCTAGTTTATATGAATTACAGGGCAGTACAATTGAAAATTTATGATGAATGTCTGTGAGCTCTTAAACAGGTTTAAGAGCTCACAGACATTCATCTTTATCAGAGTTTTAGTTTTAATAACTGGATGTATTAACCACTTTGGTGGTAGCTTTTTATACCTTCAAGAAAAGATGTTCTTTATATTTCCCCTGTAGTAGTGGCTTTTTTCTTTTGGTTCAGTGTTAATATGCAAAATGAACTTTCATGAACATTTGCATTCAGTGTCTTGTGCCAGTTAATTCACAGCTTATATTGCAAAAGTACAGTATTCCATTCTGGGGTGCATAGACAAGAAACGTCCTATAGTAGTTGGCCTGTTGGTGTTGTTTAGATACAAGTTAGGCAGCATTATCCTCCTGTAATGTATTTTTCCTCTTGTTGGAAATGTGTTCATGACAAAAAAAAATCACCAACAAAATGAAGGATTCTTATTTTATGTCCCGAGTTCTAAGAAAATGTCATCTTATTTTTTCTACTGTGCCATCATAGAGTACAACTGTTCTTTCTTCAGTCTTTTCCTTGACTATTTTTGCTGTAGATGTTTCTCAACTATCCAAAATATTTTGCCGAAAAAAGATGATGTGAATAATTAATATTGCTGTTTACTAGAAACTAGTCTGTAAGTAATGGTCCACTAGGGATTAATAAAAGTTAATCTTTAGAATTTTTGATGAGCTGGATCATTTGAAAGAGGAGTAAATGGAGAAAATGAGCTGAGGCCAAATGCTGTCCCTCCCCTGCCACACTTCTACCCTGTCTCAAGGAATTGTTACTCTATCTCTAATAATTGCAGGTTTAACTTTATGTTAATAATACATCCTCTTTGTACTGACAATTTACACTTCAAAATAAAATTTACTTTGTATTATCAGTGTCATGACGATGGAAATGTTTTGCTACTACATAACTAGTTTAGGTCCTGAATTTAATGTAATGATTAAGCATTTAATTCTGTAACATGTGTGTTCTTTGAGCTAAACGTTTGGTAAAGAGGAGTAAACACACATGTGATACATAGGTCCTGTCCTGAACCAACTAACAGTTCAGTGGAAAAAACTGGTATGTTCCCAACACCGGCCAAGCCACAAAGAAGAGACTAATACTTGTGTATGAAGGGCTTAAAATAGAAATGCAGAAATGACTGTTCTGGGCTAGATTTGTAAGAAATAGTCATTATTGAATTAGAATTTGAAGGTGATTCTTGCTTGGTTTGAGAATACAGAGGGAAAGGGATGATGTGACCAGAGAAAAAATGAGAAAGTTTTGTCAGAGTTGACTGAAGCTGCTTTCAGATTATCCTTGGTGGGTGGGAGATAAAGGATGAAGCTAAAAAGGTAAGTTGCAGCCAAAGATCTGAATACCAAACTAAGAGATGTAGAGTTTATTTTATAGATAGATTTTAATGCATTGTGATGAGCTGGGGTATGAGCTAATGAGGGATAATGGGGAAGCTCTAGGAAGGACTGAATGAGATAAATTAACAGTGAGATTGGGAAGCAATTGGAATAATCATTGCATGAAGCAGGAATAAAAGGGGAAGATAAATGTAATATGCACAGTAAAGGAAGGTTTCATTGGCATTGTTGTATGAAAGAGTAGTCAAAGATGAGTTTGAGAATCTTTGAGCTAAGGTGCATTGGTGTTTTATGGAAAGGTAGCTTTTGATTTTCTATAATAATGGAAGAAAGGAAAGGCAGTTAAAGATGCCTCTCAATAGATGAATGGATCAAGAAAATGTGGTACACATACACACACACACGCACACACACACACACACACACAGTGGAGTTCTATGTCTCCATCAGAAAGAAGGACATTGCCCCATTTGTTAGAAAATAGAAAGACTTGGAAAAAATTACATTAAGTGAAGTAAGCCAGGCCCAAATAAACATAGGTCCCACGGTTTCCCTTATTTGCAATAACTAGTATAAGTCTAGGATAAGCAGAAAAGGTCAAAAGCTATGTACATATGACCATATAAGATGATGTTAAGTGAAATGAACCCCAAAATAGGGACACAACTGTTTTTTTCTTTCTTGCTATTGTTTTCAACTAAAGTATTTAAAATGTACTGTTATTTTTTCATTTCTTTTGTATGTTCTTCCCCCAGGTATAACCCCTGTTTTCATTGGATTTGATTCCAGTGAGGGGAGGTAAAGGGAAATAACAAAATGCTGAAATAAGGATACAGTTGACCCATTGTAACAATGAGATGTGCAAGACACTATGTTGAAAACGAACTTTACAAATTGGGGTGGGAGGAGGAGTTGGGGAGGTGGGGAGGGAAGGGATGGTAGGGGATAAACAAAGGAGGCAGTAACAATGCTCGATAATAATGTACTCATTACCTTACTCATATTACTGTAACCCCTCTGTACACTATTTATACAATAAAAAATAAGAAAGAAAGTAAAAATACTAGATGCAAAAGTACTAGAATATTTAGACAAATTTACATAGTAGTGGAGGAAGAATATAAATTTAAAGCTTTAAACCAGATTCCATTTACATATAGTAGGTGACATTTTTAAGGCAATCATATTATGTGGCAGTAATTACCCTTTAATATATTGGGGGATGAAATCCTTGTTTTTTCTTCTCTTGTTAATGACTTCCAGACTTGGATTAGTATAAAGTTTTTAAAATACCTTTTTCCTATCTATAAGGAGATTATAATTTAGTTGAGAAACCTATCAAGAAAACTTTTAAAGTCAGGTGTGGTGGCATATGCTTCAGCAGGCTAAGGCAGGAGGATCCTGAATTCTAGGCAAGTCTGGGAAACAACATAACCCTATCTTTTTTTAAAAAAAAAAAAGGCAAACAAAATAAACTGTGTCAGAGACGGAGGTAATGTCCACCAGTCTCTCATTCCCCTGGATTCCTGTAGCCTATTATGAACAATTTGCTTCCACTTGTGAAGATTAGAAGTTTATTGAGGGCTGGGAGCCCATCCTTTAGGACAGTCCACATGCTTCTGTGTGATGCTTGTCAAATTTACAATGAATCTGGTGCAGTGATTCAACCAATTTCACCTGCTCTTTTGCAATGACATTGTGGTATCAGGGACATACATGGTGTCCTCTTATTGAAAGGTAGATTTTACTATCTTACATTTGTTCTTTTTCTAGGTGGAAACAAGAGAAGATGAAGAACAAAATGTCAAGCTGACTGAAATTCTGGAACTCCTGGTTGCTGCTGGGTATTTCAGAGCAAGAATAAAAGGCTTATCACCTTTTGACAAAGTAAGAGGAAATCTTTCTAACCATTACACTATATCTTTTCAGGATGACTATGACAGACAGAGGAAGAAATTGTGCTTTTACTTTCTCCATTTCCATGTCTCCATTTTTCCTAATACAGATTCATTATGGCTGTATTAAAATTTCCTTAATTAAAGAAAGTATAAGTCAGTAGATAAAGGTGAAGTCGACTTCTGTGCACAGACTTTTAGAAAATCCAGGCAAGCAAAAGAAACAGTTTTCTCCATTTAATGAAGTTGCAGTTTTGGTGGAGATTATAAAGTTTATGTCCGAAAATCATCTTAGTTATACAAAGTCAGCATGCTCCTGAACAATTGACAGATACTCTGTAGAGGGAATATGCTCTGGGTTTCAAGGAAGGAGAAGTCACTACTGCTTTCAATTGAGCAGTACCATGAACAGTTATTTTGCACAGGACATAGTAATAGGTGTTGAGCACAGAGCTGAAACAATAAGTGCTTCTCAAAGAGAAGCACTTTTGTAGAAAACAGAAGACAGATAAGTAAACCAACATATGTAGAATAAATGGACTGATACAGGAAATGGTTCAGTGGACTGTGCTAAGTCATCCAAGACCAATGATAGGACAGAGCAGGAAATCTTCAGGAAACAAGGGCTTAATGCTTCTGGGTAACAGTCCTGGCTTGGGCATATCAGAGTCATCCTAAATTGTTTGTAACACACATGTCCAAGTCTTTCCCACTGAACTTTTAATTTATTCCATCTAGGTTGGGACCTGGAATTTTAATAGACATATCCTTTGAGTCTAAACTGTAGCCAGAAATGAGATTCAGTTGGTTTTTTAAATATCATGCTACATCTGAAAAGGATTTTATTTCAAAGTGAGATTTCAGTCTAAGCCTTATTTTTATCTGAGAAAACTCATAAAAGCAAAGTTCAGTGGTGAGTCTCATCTATGGTAGGTAGATAAGACTATTAAGATGTGTGGAAAATAAACACAATGAGCCAGAAAATATCAGCCTTTTGATGTTCATATACTTGGTCTGCAAAATACAAATATCCTTGGATCTGGCATGTTGGAAACCAAATGAAGAACTCTTTCAGCTGAGAATTAATGTCTGTCCCCTTTACTATGAAGAGAATCTTTGTGCAATATGTCCATTTAATAGTGGAGTCAACTTTTCAGTCACATTGGCAGCCTTTTGAGTTCTTAGTAGCCACACATGGCCAGAAGCTGATATATAGGACAAGATAGGTACAGAACATTTTCACCATTGCAGAGTTTTACTTAGTAGTATTATTTTAGATGAATCATAGGAAAGGAGAACACACTTTCTCTCTAAAGATGTCTAATTTTATACGTTTATTGAATCTTCATAAACTGTAATTTATCTACCTATTGCTTTTTTTCCTTTAGAAAGCAAAACAAATATTTGCTTTGTTTCTTACAGGTAGTAGGAGGAATGACTTGGTGTATCACCACTTGCAGCTTTGATGTAGATGTTGACTTGCTCTTTCAGGAAAACTCTACAATAGGTCAAAAAATGTAAGTTATTAGAGCTTGCCATGGAAGAGCCTAAACAGAGAGAGAAGGGACTTTTTTTGGAGAAGTAGTTGTTATGTGTTTCTATTTATATTTAATTTTCATGTTATATTGTGTCTGTGTATATTTATTTTATTTATTTATTTATTTTTGAGCATTTTCATACATATCCCAGACAGGTAATCTTGTTAGCTCACCTCCCAAATGTTAGGCTTATAGGTATATATCACCCTGTTCAGCTGTATTTATTTTATTTATTTATTTTGTGGTACTGGGGTTTGATTTCAGGGCCTTGCACTGTGTTTGTTGTTAACATAAATTCTTACATTTTTACATGTAGATCCTCTCTAATACTTATAGCCCCAGTTTAGTTATTCTTGACCATGTGACATATCTATTTTATTTTGCTACCCACCCCATATACCCATTTTTTGTACTATTATTCATTTGCTTAAGTAATGCAGATTAAAGAAGATATGATTGTGTAAGAAAGTAGTCCTCTGTGTTCCAAAGCCATATGTGACTTTATAAAACAAATTATTTGTGCTGTTAGTATCCTTGTGATCAACCTTGTTTCTTCTGTTCCGTGTTTCTATTCTTTTACTTTAATTTTTCTGGGTCCATTTTAAAATTTAGTTTCCTTTAGACCTTGTGTAGTTCTTACACTTTTTTGAATGTGCTAATCTCTGTGTTTTAATTGATATACTTAGATTACTTGTATTTAAGGCATTTTGGATATGGCTATGTTTAAATTTATATTTACATATAGAAAATGCTAATATTGAAAGTAAAGCATCTTAAAGGAGAATAGTATCTCGTATCTAGTTTGACATAAACTCACTTCACATACAAATGAAGATTTCTAGAAAGTTGTTTTTGAAGTTTGTTTGTAATTTTTAAAAATTTTTAAAGAATTTTTTCACTAAAACTGAAGTCATGGTGAAAAATTGTTCCTAGTCTAATTTTAGATAATATATTTTATATATAAATAAAGTTGAAATTTATATTTGAGAATTTTCATCACTTATAATTTCTGGAACACATAAAATTGATTATATCTTCCTAGGCAGGAATATTGCTGAAACATTGGGTCATATTCCCAGGCTAGGCTTCACAATCCCACAAATGACTAGTCAACAATCTTTAGTCTATCCTGAAAGACAGAGGAAGACTTGAGCTGTCATTTGTGGGACTGTAGCCTAGGATTATGAACTAATGTTTCATGAATGTTCCTGGTATGTGAAAGTAAAAGCAACTTTTTGTGATCTAGACATTGTGAATGAGGAAAAACTTCAAATAAAATGTACAGTTTTCTATTTGCTGAGATGTTTCACAGTCCAGTAAGATTTTAGACAAGCAGTGTTCTTGTCTGTGAAAACAGAATGTGTTATATAGCTAAAATATTGTTATGAAAAACTTCAAAATGATGATCCATAGTAGAAATTCTTCATTGTCTTCAAATAAAAAGACTTCCTTCTAGAGGCATTTCTGAGTGTCTCTTCCAGTTCTTAGTTCATTAGTAGTAGTAGGAAATACACTGGATTCATTCTTGGTGTCTTCTGAATGGTTCTTTGTGGTGCTTGAAGCATCTTCTATTGGGTATTGATTATGTTCACATCAGTTTTTTAGTCCATTTTCTCCGTCATTAACATTCTTTTAGTTGTTGTTGTAATTTTGTTTTCTGTTTCCCCTTCAGTTTCTACCGAGGTTTATCTGCCTAGCTTCTGGATAGAAAAACTGGTTTTTGTGTCTCCTGTTGTTTTTCCTTGTCTGTGTTAACAGGAAAGCCCTTACAGGGACCATTGTTGACAATAGTGGTTTTGTCGTCTGCCTTTTATTTGGTTGTATCTCAGCTAGATGTGTCTAGTTCACTTAATTTTGTAAAATGGTTCTCTGTTGAAGTTTTTGCTTCCTTAGCAGGTGTATCATAGTCAGTTTTTTCATGCTATGCCTCATGTATGTCTGTGTCTGTATTCCCATTACTTAAAAAGTGATAGGGGGGTTTGGCAACTGTTGTCTTTATCTGTAATCTTTTATAAATTTTTAAGTGTTGGTCTTTAAAGTCTATATTTGTCTCTATGTAACTATATGTTTGTGTCCTTTTTGTGGGGGGCTGGTCAGAAATTTTTCCATATGGCTTATTACTTGTGACTGAATGTTCCAGAAAGTATGTATTATAGCTCTGCTCTTTTTTTTTTTTTTTTTTTGCCAGTCCTGGGGCTTGAACTCATGGCCTGGGCACTGTCCCTGAGCTGCTTTTGCTGCAGTCTAGCACTCTACTACTTGAACACCACTTCTGGCCTTTTCTGTTGATGTAGTACTGAGGAATCAAACCCAGGGTTTCTTGCATGCTAGGCAAGCACTTTACCAATAAGCCACATTCCTAACCCTGTTATAGTTCTTAACAAACTGTGTTTCTTTGTATCTGCTTCCTGTTTTGTTGTAGCTGTTATTGAAGTTGAATTTCCTTTTCTAGTGTACATATATCTTCCTTGGTGCCTCTTTAAGGTTTGGTGAATGTATGACTTCTGAGGCACTCAAGAATACACACGTTCATTTGGATTCTGAGGACTCTGACACATTCAGATTTAGTTAGTTCTTGTGGGTTTTCCGCAAGAATGCATGCAGTTAATATTGATGGCTATAATTTTAAGATCACACTCAGTATCCTTCTGCCTTTAGCTTCTTCTGGATTAAACATGAGAGGCAGAAGTTTAACTTGGCCAAGTCACAGTGTTTGAAGCACATATTTTGTTATTTAGTCATCCTTGAGTGGTTTAGGTTCTGTGGTTTTCATATTATCCTTGGCAAAAAGTCTATTGGTTTGGCCCTGGTGACTTACAATACTGTATTTATTTTCACTGATGATAGAGGTCCCTTCGCCCTAGTAGGTAGGACTTGAGTGGGTTTGCCTGCTACTTTTGTGGGAGTAACAGTTTGATCCATTATCTTAGTTTCAGTGGCCTTGTCTTTGGTTGTTTTTTTTTTTTTGAGGGGGGGTCCAGTCATGGGGCCTGAACTCTGGGCCTGGGCGCTATCCCTCAGCTCTTCAGCTTAAGGCTAGCGCTCTACCACTTGAGCCACAGCGCCACTTCCGGCTTTTTTTTCTTTTTGCTTATGTGGTGCTGAGGAATCGAACCCAGGGACTCATGCATGCAAGGCAAGCGCTCTTCCACTGAGCCACCTTCCCAGCCCCGTCTTTGGTTGTTTAATGAGTTTCAGCAGCCTGGATGTCTATAGCTGTAGCCACAGCTAATTGGGGGCTCTCAGTTTCTTGCATGCTCTTGTTGAACAAGATGGTCCCATCTTGCTTTAAACCTTCTACTTTGGCAGCCTGGGTTCTAGTAGCTTCTCCCTTTGCTTTTTGGAGGTTTGAAGTTTTGTGCACACTCCTGGTGGGAGAAATAGACTTGTCCCATTCCAGCCCCTTGGCTGCATCCCTAGTAGCCAGGTAGGTGTTCAGTGACTTTGTCCTCATCTCTGCTGAGGTCAGATCAAACGATATTCTCTTAGTGATCTATTAGAAGGACCTGCCTAATTTAAAGTCATCTTTTCATCAACTCCATTTTCATCCTCCAAATTCTTCAGATTCTGTCCTGGGTCAATTGGGGGATGTCTTCTGCACTGCAGTGCAAGGTTCAGCTCAGTACCTTGTACTACAAGAGGTGAGGCAAATGAGGAGCTGTAGTGGAGATGGTGGTATAAGCACACAGGTTTTCTAGGAATAGTTGCCAAAGAAATCTTGCTTATATGCCTACCCTATTCTAAGCACTGAACGGTAAAAATTTCCTATTTTCTATAGTTAATGTTTTAGTACATATCTATCCAAAGTATCTAAAGAGGCTCTGAGGATCAATATTTAGATATGTGTTTGTGTCATGTTTCTGCCAACCTGATATAAATACTTTAAGGAAAGGTTCACAGTTTCTATCCATGACCATAGAGAGTCTATGACAGAATAGCAGATCATACCATAGCAGCCAGGAAGCGGAGAGACAAAATGCTTGTAGTCATGGCAAATATTTCTTAATCTTGGCACTAGCAAGTGTTAGGCTCTGAGATCAAACCCTATCACTGTCCACAAAATACATATACTATACATTTTATTATAACATATTTTTATATCATAATATTCAAGACCTATATACTATGTGATTTTAGAGAAAGAATATTATTTAGCACAGTCATATGTTTTCATTAGTGCTAACCATAAGTAACAGAGCCCTGTATCTCTAATATCTGCCATTTTGGGGTGTGGCATCTCACTAAGCTGCCATAGTTAACCTTCCTGGAAGGCACTGCACAGTCCTGGTATGTGGCCCTGATCTCTTCCATTGTGGAAATCCAGAGGTAGATTTTTTTACATCTTTCTTTTTTATTATAGAGACATTATATCCATGAAGTTAAATAAAATTCATATTCTATCAAGGGAAGCAAAGTATAATGCTTAAGATTTCTTGCTTGTACTACACTGGAAAGGTCCATCTTCAGCTGTTTAAGTTTTGAGATTCTTCACAGATTCTACACTGATATGTCTGTGTTTCATAAAAGTCTAGTAAAAATAGGAAATGAGCTCACCTAAACTCCTCACTACATCTACTTCATCTTAGAAGATGAGAGGTAGATTCCCCAGTTTCAATAATTTCCTGTTGTTCCTGTGGTTATTTGTACAGTTTTATTCTACTTAAGCTTCTCTTTCTTGATCCTTTAGCAAAAGTTAGTTCTGCTGGGTTTGAACTATTTAGAGAATATATTTTAATAGCTTAATTTGGCCTTCTACCTACAACTTCCATCTTGGAGAAATTCCTTTTAAAATGGTATGGTTATACTATTTATAATACCAATGCACTTATTTGTGCTTTCTCTCCAAGTAGGTTCTGGAAGTAAATCTATAATCACTCTTTACAGTAAGGACTAAGAACTGTGATGGGATCAGAGAAAGGCAAATGAATGATGTTATTTGAAGAAGGAAATTTAAAATATCAATCAAAAAGGGTCTCTGTTCATTTTTTTTCACTCAAAAGGTGTTTATAAAGCCTTTCCTGTGGTCAGACATTCTTTGTGTACTTTGGATTCACTAGTGAAAATGTCTTTTCCTTGAGGAGCTACAATTAGTAGTGGGGACAAACTAAAGACAAGAATTACGAAGTATGTTTTATATAGAAGTAAGATAGATAATGGTAATGACTAAAAGAGGAAGATTACCAAAAAAAATTTAAGAAGAGTATTATGGGGAGAGACGTCAGATAGAAGAAAATTCATGTTTTAAGTAGGGTAGTTAGGGCAGGATGTTAAAGGAGCTGAGACTTGAGGGAAGATGGTCCCAAGCAAACGGAAGCCTATGTCTTAGCACTACGCCATGTGCCATGATTGTATTATTTTTTTTTTTATTGTAAGAATACCATACAGAGGAGTTAAAATTACATGGGTAAGATAACAAGTACATTTCTTATCAAGCATTGTTGCCTCCTCGTTGTTTCCCCTTCCCATCCCTTCCCATACTCCTCCCCTTTCCCCACCTGATCCTCCCCCCCACACACACCAAAATTGTTAAGTTCCTTTTTTGACGTAACGACTTATACATCTCATTGTTGCAATGGGTCCACCTGTATCCCTAGTTAAACGATTTGTTTTTTTCCCTTCCCCTCCACAAATTATACCTACATCAAAAACAGTGAAAGTATGGGTTGTACTGTGGGGGAGGGACATAAAAGCAACATAGAAATCATCTTATAAATATGATAGAAACAATTGCATGAAAGGGAAAAAAAAAAAACATTTGACTGCTTATCTTGGGGTTCATTCCCCTAACATCAACTTATCTGACCTTTTCTGCTTGACTCAGACATATACTAGTTATTGCAAATAAGGGAAACCATGGGACCTATGTTTCTTTGGGCCTGGCTTACTTCACTTAATATAATTTTTTCCAAGTCTTTCCATTTCCTAACAAATGGGGCAATCCTATTCTTTCTGATGGAGGCATAGAATTCCATTGTGTATATATACATTTTCTTGATCCATTCATCTACTGAGGGGCATCTGGGTTGGTTCCATATCTTAGCTATGGTAAATAAGGCTGCAATAAACATAGTCGTGCTGGTAGCAATGTAGTCTTGTTTGTGATCATTTGGGTAAATGCCCAAATTATTTAACCTTCATAACACTCTTTGAATAGGTAGGATGTAGGAGTCATTCATCATTTTATGAGGTTAGTATTAAACCAGGTGACTTGCCTGTCAGAAGCCCTAGAGTGGGTGTGGGAGCCTGGATTCAGATCCAGGTTTAATTCATTCCCTTTCAAATGGTTTTCAGTGAAAGGAAAAGTGCACTGAGCACTTAACAACTAGGGAGTTGGCTGAATGTAGTGGCCTAGTACTCAGGAGGCTGATACAAGAGGATTGCAAGTTTGATGCCAGCCTATGTTAAATATCTAAAAAAAAAAAATAAAGTCTGACTAAGCACCCTTAATGATATACTAAAATCTTAGGCTAGGAAACTTGCTTGGTGACCTCTGCCGTTGTCCTTTTTCCTGTTTTAGGAAGTTGGAGAATCCATGATGAGATCTAGAGAAAAGCCAAATGGGGACTAGTGTACCTTTGTAAGAAGCCTTCCTGACTCTGTCCCCATAACCCTATACACACACCCTGCCAGTGTTTCCTTCCATGTTCTCCCAGCAGTATTACGCTTTTTTTTTTTCCCCAGGGCTGAGGACTGAACCCAGGGCCTTGCGCGCGCTGGGTGGGCGCCCTTCCTCTGGGCTAAACCCCTAGCCCCCCAGCAGTATTATGCCTTGTAGCTCCCATGTGCTACTGAGACTTCCCAGTGTTTTCAGGGAGGCAAGTTTAAAAGGGCTATAACCCCTGAGGTACACCAGCTATCTCTTTCCCAAATCATGCCTTTTGAGACCTGTTTGAGTAGGCTGGCTCTGAGAAGTGGCAAGGAGAACCGTATCTAAAGGCAAGGGCTTGTACTGGATGGCGCTGAGGGCCTCAGCCTCTGGATTTTAAGCTACTGAATGGTGGATAATCTGTGACCCTATGCAAACAGATATGTAGCCACTGGAGGGAGCTCTCACCCCGCTAAATAGAAATATAACTGAGGAAAGGCTGTATTGACTACATACCAGTAATGCATGAAGGGAAAAGACCTCACTCACTGAGACTAAAAGCAGCATTAGTGTTCGTAAAGAAAACAATAAAAATTCTGAGCATAGTGACACACCCCTGAAATTCTTGATAAGTAGGAGGCAAGAGCATCATGACTTCAAACCCATCAGGCAAAGTCAGTGAGATTCTGTCCTTTGGTGCGGGGTAGGGGGAGGATCCAGTGGGGGAAGGGGAGGAGTATGGGAAGGGATGGGAAGGGGAAACAACGAGGAGGCAACAATGCTTGATAAGAAGTGTACTCGTTATCTTGTCCACGTATTTGTAACTCCTCTGTATGGTATTATCACAATAAAAAAAAAAAGTGGCTGAGAACATACCCTAAGTAGCAGAGTGCTTCCTTAGTAAGCACAAGCTCTGGCTTTAGTCCCCAGTCCTGGGGCAAGAAAAAAAAGTGTTTTAACATCAAAAAAGTAGAAAGAATAAAACCTTAGAATTAAAAGATTTATAACATTTGTGCACATCCCTTAATTGTGCTGCTTTTTCTCACTTTGCAGTCAGTCAGGGGAATATTCTGACATTGGTATGGTTCTAGGCTGCTGTCCAGGCTTGAACAATGTCTTCAGGCCATTCAGGGTGTTCTCATCTGCACTGTTTGTTTTTCTTGTACAGAGCTCTGTCTGAAAAGATTGTCTCTGTCCTTCCGAAGATGAAGTGCCCACACCAGCTAGAGCCCCACCAGATCCAGGGCATGGACTTCATCCACATATTTCCTGTTGTACAGGTGAGGTCTTCTATATGCTTTCTGGCCTGCAAACTACAGCTCTTGAAACAGATCTGGCTTTGAGGCCAACTGACCTAGATCCTCGATCTAGTGGGTATGGTTTGGGTTTGGTGCAGCAGGACCTGTCATCATTCTCAAAAGCCCTCTGGCACTCCTTATTCTCTTTCGTACTATCTTCTCTCTTGTTATTTTTTTCCAGTTTTATGGAACAACATTACATATATTTATTTATTTATATTTGTTTTGTTTTTGATGCTGTCCTGGAGCTTGAACTCAGGGCCGTGGCTCTGTTCCTGAGGCTTCTTTTTGCTCAAGGCTAGGATTCTACCATTACAGCCACAGCACCACTTCTGGTTTTTTCTGAGTAATTTATTGGAGATAAGAGTCTCACTGACTTTCCTGCCCAGGCTGGCTTCAAACTGTGATCTTCAGATCTCACCCTCCTGAACCACCAGCACCTGGCTATATTTTTATAGAAAGTGTAAAAACAGTTTTATAGTGTATTTATAATAAGATGGATGAGAAAATAATGTTTGTTTCAGGGAATGGAGCACATAACTGAATAAATAAACTCACCAGAACCAGCAAATCAAAACCCAAACACACACACCCATACATATACAAATAATGAATGGATCTTGACATAATTCCAATTTAGTGGTAATATGCCTGTAGATAGTACTTTACGTCTGATCTTAGCAGTGTTCAAAGCATCTATTATAATTCCTGTCTTACCTTTGAGGAAGGTGAGATTAGGAACTCTGATAAAGGGCAGATAACTAGAGACTAGACAACTAAAGATCTCCACCTAACCTCTATAGCTCAGGTGTTGTGCCTTTCCTATTCTACCACTCTTAAGCTGCTAAGAAAGAAGCTGTACAACCTTTGCCTGAAAAACCTTCTAGTCCACATTAAGACTATGGATGTAGGAAATAATAGCATTGACCCTAGACTTCTATGTTCCCATTGCACCTCTGCTACTTTCTAGCTGTGGGACCGTGGGAAATGGCTTAACTTCTCATTTGTTAAATATAGAGAATAATAGTGCCTACTTGATGGGATGAGAAGTAAGTTAACATATGTAGAGAACTTAGAAGAAGGATTGGCTTGTCTTTGTAAATCCTCTAAAAGTACCAAATACTGGCTTTTGTTACTATCTTTTTACTAAGTCTAGTGGATTGAAATGCCATCGATTTTGTAAATTTATAAATAAAATTAATAAATTTGAGGCTGAGAGTTTCACTCAGAATTTGATTATGTGTTCATTGGACTTCTGGGAGGCATGGAGATGGTACCTGATGCTCTTTGTGAAAAAGGGAATTTAGGACCAGATGTTGATTACAGAAATCTCCAAGAGTCATATTATGAAGCTGTTACCTTTTCCCTAAAGCCTGGATATGTAAGCATTGGATCTTACTCTAGCCCATGCTGTAGTAATGGGGCAGCCAATCTATTCCAGATTTCAGAAGATGTGTGAGAAATGATCTTTCCATTCAGCTTGGATATTTTAAGGTTCTATTGATGTTTCATGCTATGAATGCTATACTAGAGACACTCCTGTCCGGACAGGAAAGCCTGGATTAGTGATTACTACCTCGCTTAGTTCATGGGCCTATAAAATTTGGGGTTGGGACTTGTAGTTTGCCAGGTAAGAACATTTTTAAAGGTAACTACTATGTTGCTTTCTCTAAGAGAAAGGCCATTTGATGCCTGATCTCAAGACAAGAGGACAGTACTTCAAATTGCATACATTCAGCATTATGAAAAACTTACACCTGTCTGAAGGTTTTTCCTGTTTTCTAGGCACTAGTGAAAGGTTAGTCAGAGACCAGTTAAGTATTTGTGAACTGTTAACCTAGTTATCTGACATTTGGCAAAGCTATAGTATACTCTGAAAGTTAGCTGAGAAGAAAATAGGTCTAACCTCCAGGCACTGGCAGCCTAGGATACATCTCTTTGTTCCATCTGGATATGAGTCCTCTGAAGCATATACTTACCTTGTGTTAGGGGAGCTCTGGCATAGCCTGTCTGTCCAGGAGGTCCACTCACTCATTCTGGGAACTCCAAAACAGAGCTGTTACATGTTTGAGCGGATCCTGGGACTCCACAGGCCATCTCTTCCTCACCTGACCACACTCTTCAGGGTCCAGATGAGGAATAACAATTTCCTTGTTATATTCAATAAGTATATCTGATTTGTGGAGGCAGAAACAGACATGAAGAATCAGAAATTGGGTCTCATAACCTGGACAAAAGCAGAACTAAATTGAGTTGAGCACTGAGGCAGCTACCTTGTTTGTCCTAAGCATGGTCCTGGGTGAAAGTGAGGGGAGCTACAGTGGTTGTGAATATTGTCTCATTTGTCACCTCCACTTGTGATTTAAGTTGGTAGCCAAGGTCATTGTTTGGAGGCAGGATACAATAGATTAGTAAAATTAGATGGAAGATATTAACCAGAAAAGAGCATTTTTATAGGATTATACTCTGTGGTACATAGGGTACATGGTGCATAGTTACCTTCAGCCACCCTAGCCTGGACAACTGCTTCCAAAACATGTCTCTTACTTCAGCTACTGTCTTCTGAACAAGGCCCTTTGTACCAGCATCTTGCATAGGCCATGTGTCTACTTGCCTAGGCAGTTAGACCTCACCAATGGTGCTATCTATGCTTTCAGAAAAAAACCACTACTGCCCCCAAACTGCTTTGCGGATGTAGCTGCTCTGTTGTAGAGACAGTGGCAACCCTGACAAATGGCTTCCTCCTCCATTATGGCTTTCAGTAATGAAGGAAATGAATTAAAAGCAGAATTGTCAAAGGCTCTTTCTGCACTCAACCTCACCCTCAGCACCTGAATCTCTGATGAAGTATGGGGTTTGTGTGTGTGTGTGTGTGTGTGTGTGTGTGTGTGTGTGTGTGTGTGTGTCTGTGTGTGTGTCTGTGTGTGTGTCTGTGTCTGTGTGTGTGTGTGTGTGTGTGTGTGTGTGTGTGTGTTACCCGGGATTTTAAGTTGGGTAAAGGAAGTTGCTTCCAGCTGTCAGCCCAGTGAAGCTGGGAAACATTTATTAACACCCGTTAACACCCATTTGTCCCACAGTCTGTTGTGGAAACCCCTCCAACTGTTGACTCCTAGCTTTACACCTTTGCAGCTACAGATCAGTGAGCAAATATCTGCCTTGGGTTCTGTTACACTTGACCACTGAATCTTCCTTGAAAATGTCATGAGGTATAAGAGAAAATGTTGGTCTAACCTAGTGGGCTCTTGACTTAGTACATACTGTTCTCTAATCTGAATATCAGGATTTTTTCATCTGTTGCAGGAACAGATGTACTTGGTATTCTCCATGGGGAATCTCTGTCTGTGGTACAAGCAGCACAGGAAATAGAGAAGTTTACAGTAAGATTAGTCACTTGCCCGAGTAGCTTGGATGATATTGTAGCAGTGTTGTGCTTCAGGTGCTTTCAAACCACGCTAGTATTATGATTCCTTTCACTCCTGTAGTAGCTACTACTCCTGTAGTAGCTCAGAGAAATGTCAAAAAATAGATCTTCCTTTTATAGAGAGGCAAACCGACATCTGATGATGTGAGGTACAGTTTTAAAGCACCTATACAGCTACTTAGCACTGGTCCCACTGTGTCTTAGAATTTCTGATGCCTAGCCAGTTGTTTTTCCTTTAGGGTAGCAGGTGATAGCATGTGCTGATGGGTTTTGCTTGTTTGTTTTGTTCTACTCTTCTTTTCATCTAGTTAGTTCAAACATGCCAATTTGAGCTCACAAAGTATGTTGTCTTTGAGTAGCCTTCAACACAATGCAAGTTCTTTCCTCTCATCTTTCTTTACTTTCTCTCTCCCAGTGGCTGGTGAAACGAGCTATAGAAACAAAAGAAGAGATGGGTGACTATATCCGCTCCTACTCTATAGCCCAGTTCCAGAAAACCTACAGTCTCCCAGAGGTCAGTATTGTGCCCTTCATTCTTATTCATCAAGAACAGCATTAGTGCATACTCAGAGACACCTAGGAAGGGGCAGTGTAGCTCAGGCTCCAGGCATCTCTGCCCTGTCTTGGATTCACCCCAGCAGTGAAGAAGGTCCTTGTGGCTTGTTAGAACAGTGCTTTTTTTTTTCTTAATAAGGTTTTTTATTGTGAAAATACCATACAGAGGGGTTACAATTACATGAGCAAGGTAATAAGTACATTTCTTATCAAGCATTGGTGCCTCCTCCTTTGTTTTTTAATTGGAAAGGTGATGTACAGAGGGGTTACATTTACATAAGTCAGATCATGAGACATTTCCTTTTTTTGGGGGTGGGTCCAGTCATGGGGCCTGAACTCTGGGCCTGGGTGCTGTCCCTCAGCTCTTCAGCTCAAGGCTAGCACTCTACCACTTGAGCCACAGCGCCACTTCCGGCTTTTTTTTTTCTGCTTATGTGGTGCTGAGGAATCAAACCCAGGGCCTCATGCATGCAAGGCAAGCGCTCTACCACTGAGCCACCTTCCCAGCCCCAAGACATTTCCTTTTGAACATTGTCATCCCTTTCCTCATTTTCTTCCAGTTTTTTCCTTCGAACCCTCATCTCCCCCCCCCCCCACCCCAAGTTGTATAGTTCATTTCCAACATAGGGTCTAGTGAATATCACTGCTGAAATAATTCATCCTCTGTCCCATCATTTTAGAACAGCTCTTTAAATGCCACTGAGTGTGAAGCACACAGTTTTATCATTTTTCTCTAAATTTTGGCATTTGATCCAGAACTTCTATTAAATTACAAAGCCTATTTTTGTATAAAGTTCTTGGAGTAACCACCTATGAGAGACATTACTAACAATTTTTAACAATTACAGTAATAGCTAAGCACTGTCAAATTCTTACTATATGCCAGTTGTAGCACATTATATGCCCTCTGTTCTTTGCCTGATCTCAGATAGGTATTGGAGATGGAGAATCTGAAGCTTAAGAATAGTTGTCTTAAGCACTATTCTCCATGACTTTTTTTCTCTTACTGGTGGCTGGGATCTATTGAAGCCATCTGCACTAGTCACAGTATTTTGCTGTGGGGAAAATATTCTAATTTTTTAGAAATATCAGGCAAAGTAGATATGGGAAGTCTTTTGTAAGGTATTCTGAATGATTCAGTTTTGTTTTGTTTTTTGTCAGTCGTGGGGCTTGAACTCAGGGTCTGGGCACTGTCTCTGAGTGAGCTCTTTTGCTCAAGGCTAGTGCTCTACCACTTTGGGTCACAGTGCCACTTCCTATTTTTTTGAGTAGTTAATTGGAAATAAGAGTCTCATGGAGACTTTTCTGCCCTAAGCTTACTTCGAACTGTGATCCTCAGTTCTCAGCCACCTGAGTAGCTAGAATTATAGTTATGAGTCACCGGTGCCCAGCTTCACTTATTCTTTACCTGGAATTTGCTTAATTCCTGTGTTTTGTCTTCAGGATGATGACTTCAAAAGGAGAAAAGACAAAGCCATCAAGACAGTTGTTGACCTCTCTGTAAGCACCCTTGCCTGTGTTTTTCTCAACACTGCAAAGGCTTCAGACAGCCTTCATTTAAGTCGCACGTCACCTGTGATTGCTTGGTGACTAGGGATTGCCTAGATGTTGGTCTCCCAATAAGTGTGTGAGGTAGAATCTGCCACCATCAGCATCTGTGTTCTTAGCCTAGTTATGGAACTAAGGGAAAAAATATCCAAATGCTTGTTGGTCCCAGAGCAGAAGTGACTTGCATAACTCTAGAGAGCAGAAGATAAACTGGAGATGGTGAATTGAATTTACTGTACCACCTTTATCCCTTTGATAGCTTTGGTGGGACAGAGTAGCTTCTGAGCTTTGAGGGAAAGCTCAGATATCATTACTGGGAGTTTACACATGTATCTACTTCTCCAGCATGGAGAGTGTTGGAGCAGAAGAGAGCTTTGGTCCTGTTCAAAACACTCAAAACCAGGTGATCCTTGTCAGTGGTACTTCTGGTCCCTGAAGCCTTATGAAACTCAAGGGAATAAAGCCTCAGTGCCTGGCTGTACAGTTCCCTCTTCCAGAAGTAGCATATACTGTTACTTGTGTCTTGTCTAAATCATATCATACCTCCCATTCTACTCATTATTATGTGTAAAGATTCAGCTATGTTTATATAGGTAGCTATAATTAATTTTATAATTGATCATCTATTAAAGCCAGATAGCTTAAGTTCCAGGTGTTGTTTTTATGCAGATAACTTGGTTGTATTGTATAATTTTCAAGATTGAGGTTGTCTGGTTTATGTGGCTTTATTGTGTCCTTCTTTAAAACAAGGTTGTAAACTACATCTTGAGAGTAAATTTGTGGTTTCCCAAAGTGATTTCTCTGAAAAGAACATCAGTCATTTGATGATGAAAGATAGATGTGCACATGTAAAACAAAAAAAAAGTCTATCAGTTTGTAATTGTAATTTGTGTCTTTTACTTAATTCCATTTTGAAATGGGTGGGATTGAACACCTTTAAGATAGGGGTACTTGAAATTAAGTATTGTCTTCTGATTTAGTGGCAGTATTAAATAGTAAAGAGAAATAATTCTATGACACTGGATTAGGTTTGTGTGTGTGTATGTGTGCATGCATGCTCGTTGTACATGCTAGTCCTAGGGTTTGAATTTAGGGCCTGGGTGCTGTCCCTGAGCTTCTTTGGCTCAAGGCTAGTGCTCTACTACTTTGAGCCACAGCTCCACTTCTGTTTTTCTGGTGGTTAATTGGAGATAAGAGTCTCATGGACTCTCCTGCCCAGGCTGAGTAGTTAGAATTACAGATGTGATCTGGTAACCAGAGCCTGGTTACCAGAGTGGTTTTCTTTCTTGGCTGTGAGCTAGATGTTCAATTTAGAACACGCTAAAAGTTTCTCTTCTCCTCTCCTCTCCTCTCTTCTCTTCTCCCTTCCCTCCTTCCCTCCCTCCCTCTCTATCTCTCTCTATCTCTCTGTCTCTGTCTGTCTGTCTGTCTCTCTCTCTCTCTCTCTCTCTCTCTCTCTTGCTTGTACCAGTGCTTAAACTCAGGACCTTGTACTTTCACTCAGCTTATATCTAGTGATCTACCACTTGATCTATGCCTCCAATTTGTAATTTTTGCTGTTTAATTGGAATTGGAGTCTCTTGGACTTCTTTGCCCAGGCTGGCTTCAAACTACAATCTTCCTGATTTCAGCCTCCTGAGTAGCTAGGATTACTAGTGTACAATATCAGAGTGTGACTATAAGTTCCTTTTTTTTTTTTTTTTTTTTTAAGTTAATGGAAGCCTCTGGCAAGGCAGAACATCTGATGGAGAGTGTGGCACAGCAAAACTGCTTGGCTCACGGCAGCTAGAAGGCAGAATGGGAGAGGGGAAGGAGGGATGGGTTTAAAAAGGAGGGAAACATAACTTTCAGTGACATGACCCTAGTGACCTTCCTTCCTATAGTTCTACCCCCTGCAGTACCCCATTAAGATAGGAATCCATTAAAGGACTAGTATTATGATGAGAGCAGAGCTCTCAGCATTCAGATCTACCTCTGAACATTGCTGCATTGGGGACCATTGGGGACATTTCAGATCCCAAAGATAACATAAAACATTCTAATGTGTGGGCTGGGAAGGTGGCTCAGTGGTAGAGCACTTGCCTTGCATGCCTGAGGTCCTGGGTTCGATTCCTCAGCACCACATAAGCAAAAAGAAAAAAGCCAGAAGTGGCGCTGTGGCTCAAGTGGTAGAGTGCTAGCCTTGAGCTGAAGAGCTGAGGAACAGAGCCCAGGCCCAGAGTTCAGGCCCACGACCGGACCCCCAAAAAAGTCTTTAAAAAAAAAAACATTCTAATGTGTTTGTTCTGTGTATTTTTAAGTTGACTTAGAATCATAATTTAAATATAATTGTAATTTTTTTTCTTGCCAATATAGAATCTTTGGTATTCTATTAAAAATTCACCTAATATTTTTATGAAGGATAGTACCTGTTTTAAGTGACATTGCATTTTTGGAAAGTAGGAAAACCAGGTAATAACTCTACTTCTGAGACCAGGACCTGGGAAATTTTGTTTTCCCTATAAAACCTAGGCTATTCGGATTTTATACTTAGTGTATCTTTAACTTATTCAGACACTGTAACCCAAGCTAAGCTTTTTTTTTAGTGCTTAATTGAATATTATCACAGGTAAATCTCAGCAAGTCCTGGGAAGTAGAAAATTATACATTATTTGGCTATATAACTCAGAATTTTTAAAGAGATCAGTATTGCTGTCAGTCACCTCAGTGAAATGGCCTTGAATGTCCATAACCTTGGACTAGCTCAGGCCTTTAGAATCAGACAGGTAATTTCTTTTTCTCATTTATAATGAAGTTGGCTTTTTTTGTTGTTGTTTTTGAGTCTGTTTTTTCTCCAAGTCTACTTCTGGTTGGAAATAACATTTAAGGAGGTAATGATCATGACTAGTAAGTAGTTCCTAAACATTGATCTGATTTTCAAGAATCTCTTGATTCTTGAAACAGAGAGTACCTCCTTAACAAATGAAAAAACTAAGATCCAGATAGATCATATAGGTTGTACAAAGTCACAGCAGAAGTGATGGATTCAATACTTAGTGTAATCACTGTGCTAGCACCTAGGTAAAAGGCAGTTTTCAGCTAATAAGAAAATAACAGCAGAATTTGTATTATGTAGTTGGTAAGTGAACTTTATCTTCTGTTATTTGGCAATGCATTTTCATAGCAACACATTTTACCATTTATGGTAAAGAATTTTTATGGATTGGCAAGTGGGGTTTTACTTTTTCCTTTCTTATCTACTGAAAACACATGTGAGAAGCTGCCTTCTTAGGCTCTTAGCTATGTGCCATTACCTTGGGCACTTGTGACTTCTTCCGGCACGTTCTTAGCTGGCTTGAGAGTGGCAAAAGTTTGCAAAATACTCTGAGCCTGTAGTGTTTATTCATGGTCTATTTTTTATGACCCAGTAAAACAAAATTGGATAGCATGCAGTTTGTTATCATTCCTTCAAGGAAAATCATTACCTTTGTTAAGAGGAGGAAACCTGTCTTAGGTGACAGGTATGGCTTGCAAGGCTCAGGTTTTATGCTTCCAGATATTTCTGAGTTTTGCCTTTCAGGCATCTTTCAGTGTTTCTTGTTTTTTTTTTATTGCTGAATCTAGAATTCTAAATTTTAATTGGGAAGTGAAAATTAAGTAATAAAATAAGTTCAGCCATACAAGTGCCTACTTTTTAGACCTTCTTGCCTTTTATAAAATATGTATGGCTTGCATGTGCTTTGAGCTGAGTGCCTTTTATATGCTTGGCACCTAGTCAGAAATTTACCTCATCAGTACAGACTTACAGATTATTCCACTTTATAAATCAGGAAAATGAGGCTCAGAAAAGTTGATACTAGTTAGAAGACAGAGATGAGGTAGTCGTGGTTAGCCTGAGCAAAATGTTTGCAAGACTGCATCTCAACCAATGGTGAGATGTGATACTCATCTCAGCTACGGGCGAGCACAATGGTTGAGCATGGTGGAGCATACATGTTATCACAGATAAATGAGGAAGCACAAATAGGAGGATCATAGTCCAGGCTAATTTAGACAAAAAACAAGACCCTACCCAAAAAACTAACCAATGAAAAAAGGGCGAGCAACATGGCTCAAGTACTAGTGCACTTACCTAGGAAGCTTTGAAGCCTTGAGTTCAGTCCCAGTACTGGGGGGGAAAACATAAAAAAGGATGATAATTTGTCTGTGTAGCTACAGAGCTAGAAAAGACAGGCAGGTTTTTTGTTTTACATCTGAATCCCACCCCCCACCCCCCAACAATTTCTGTTGCTTTTCTACTTTCCCCAGTTTCTGCCACACATTTTTAGCACCTATTTTGGCATTATGTCAGGTGTTATTCATCTCTTGCAGCATTTCTTATGACTTTTCCCATTTGTAGATGTGAGAGTCAATGCCACGTGGGAACCCACTTCCTTCTCTTCTGAGTAGGCAGTCCCCATATCCATCAATTTCATCTCACTTCCCATACACCATAACTTTAGACAAAGGAGCTACTGTCCAGAGTAGAAGAAGACAAGGAAGTAGTCCCAAGGATCATGGGGAGGCTCTGCCATAAAGTGATATATTCAGCAGTACATAAGGAATCGGGTCACATCTCTGAAGGGCAGGAGGATCTTGCTGTTACCAACCTGCCCTGGTGTAAATACAGTTAAAAGGATGGCATTTTGAAGGGTATGCAAAATAGACACTTTCAAAATGGCTAAATATATGCTGATTTTGGATGTGTTTAAAGTAGTTGGATGTCTGTACATCTGAGTTTTGAGGTAAAAATCACTACAAAGCATTAAACAACCCAGGGGCTAAGACACAGAAGCTGTCTTGATCTTATTTATACAACACACCTTAGTCTTACTGCAAAATTAAACTATTTGAGATGGGATATATGCTAGATTTCAAAGGTAGGAGGTCGACTCACACACCAAGCCCTGTTTAGGGGGAAAAAAAAATAGACCAAGAACAAGATATAGGGCTATCTCTGGAGAAAATAGTACACAAATAATGTCATCTATCTATCCCTCAGATTTCCATTGCTCTAATCTCAAGCCCTCCTTTGGCTGTTGTTATGAGAGCAGCTTAGTTATTGTTTGTTTGTTTTTTCTTGTGAGATCTTTCAGGACACTGCTCACCTCTTGGTGGAGGAGGCAGATTGATTTTAAGAATCCTAGGCTGAGGGATGTCAGAGTTGGATAAAACATGAGAATGAGCAGTCATGGTATGGAAGCAACTCTGGGAAATGTTACTTCCTGCTAAGATGGGTAGGGTCAGATCCACTGAGCCTTTGATATAGAAGGCCAGATTGGTAGTGACTGCTTCATGCCTGCTCTGTTATTTCAATACAGAAGTTGTCTACTGTCATTGTAAGGGCAGCCATCAGTGATTTGCTGCAGATGCTGCCTAGGTACTATGCTGTTCTACTTTTCTGCCCCAACATTTAGAATGTGGGCTCAAAAGGTATTATTCTGACAGGTGACTTAACTGGCAACTAGACGTGTGAATACAGATCTGGTCTCATGATGTAGGAGTTCTCTGCTTTACAAAAAAAACCTTAATTTTTTTTTAATGCCATTCAAATGTCCATTATCATCTGCCATGGAAAATACCAGAATCTAATGAGGGATGATCAGAATTAAGGTATAAAACAGGTTGGAGTACTTCTGAGTCCAAGTTCTAGTGTTATCCTCTGCTTATCATTTACTTCCTTACTGCGCACTTAACTGTGTGCAGGTTGTTTGTACTCTACACTGTCTACCTGAGTTTAATATAGACAGAAAATAAGGATAGCTGTCCTCAAGGTGTGAGGATCAAATGGGCAGTGTATATATAGCAGTCGGTGCCTATCTGGTATAAATCTATCATGAAAAATGAAAGCTGCTACTGTTCATGGAAAAAGACTGAGTCTTTTATACCTTTATTTTTTTTTATAAAAAGAGGGTAGTCCTGTGTAAAGCATGGCATATTTTTTATATTAATTTCTAGTTTTAGACTGATAGAATGATTTACCAAGTCATACATTCATAGGATTAAGATAAAACACAAAGACTGAGAGACCAAGAGTGTCATTCAAGTTCTGTTTATCCTTTATGTATAAGGAAACTGAGACCCCATAGAGGGAAACTCATGGAGCTTGTTAGTGGCAGAGATGGGAGAGGGCATCAGTACTCCTAATTTCTTTTGTTTTAATGGGTGGCATAACAGTAGTTCTTTATAGTGGGCCTGGAAACCTGGGACATTAGCCCTTCAATGCTTATGCAGACCATTATAATGATGCATGTGGCAATACAGTTTATACAGTAAGCCTTCTGAGATATCTTGAAGAAATGACTGGTGGTGGTGAAATGCCCAGATAGGGACCTCCAAAGACCACTGGAGACTGTAATCGATGCAAAAGCAAAAGAGTCGTTTATTACAAGTTCGAGCCTGGACCTCCGTGCATACAGTCACAGCTGGTTATGCAGAAAGGCCATGACCTCTGTTTTTTCACAGCTTTTATAATACACTGTGAGCAAGCTTGGGAATTTAATTTAGGCCTACAGGTGATTGGTTGACACTTGATACTGTAGACATAGCACTTTGTTGGTGCTATCTGGCGGGTCACGCTTTGGGTTTGAAATGCAAGGGGTCTTTGTTCTGCTTATCTTAGGTTCTTTCCAGCTATTCCCATTTCCTTGGTGACTGCCTGACTCATATTGTGGTTATCAGGGAGCTCCAGGCTTTTCTGAAACTCAAGAACTACCTTAAGATTAGAGTCACTCTGGCTCTTCAGTAGCTAAAAGATCTGTGAGGAGCAAGTTAGTGTAATGGAAAAGCTTTGAGGTTAGAAACAAAGGTATCTGGAACCTGGTATTATCTTTTATCTCTTTTTGTTGTTTTTTTGTGACTCAAAATTCTACTTTTATTATTTATTTGGTTTTATTGTAAAAATACTGTACAGAGGGGTTACAGTTACATGAGTAAATTAATGAGGACATTTTCTATTGAGCCTGGTTACCTCCTCCTTTGTTTTTCCCCTACCATCCCTTCCCTCCCCACCTCCCCAACTGTTCCCTAACCACTCCCCCACCTCGTCCCCCAGAAGTTGTAAAGTTGGTTTTCAACATAGTGTCTTGTACATCTCATGGTTACAATGGGTCACCCTATATTCTTATTTAAGCATTTTGTTATTTCCCTTCCCTTCCCCAAATTATAAAAATGTATATACAAGATGCAGGGCACCGGAATCAAATCCAGTGAAAACAGGGGTTATACCATGGGGGAAGAACATACAAAAGAAACAAACAAAAAAAAAAAAATCACATAATATATTATAAGTACATTAAAAACAATAGCAAGCAAAAAAGAAAAAAAAAAAAAAAACACTTATACTGGGGTTTGATCTCAGGGCATTGTGCTTGCTAGGAAAATGCTGTACCATCTGGCACACCCCTAACCCTTTTGTGCTTTACTTATTTTTCCAGATAGGCCTGGACCACAGTTTATCTTACCTTTGCCTCTAGCCTAGCTGGGATAACTGGTATATCTAACCACACTGGATTTGTCTGTTGAGACAGTTTCACTAACTTTTTGTCTGGGCTAGCCTTGAACTATTATCCTCCTGATTACAAGCATGAGCCCCTGCAACCAGCCCTTAATCTAATACTGTCTTAGACCTAATACTATTATTTCATTCTGTTTCCATAGCAGTGAAATGAAAATAATAGCATTTGCCCTACCTCTTCATAGTGACTAGAAAATGTAAAAGGTAAAATGTATACATGAGCATAAACTTTAAAGTGTAAAGTATATATAAAAGTTAACATTGTCAATGTATGACAAAGGAAAGGTTGCTTTTACCTCTTCGTTTCAGTGTATTGTTGTTTGGGAGCCAGTCCTTTTATAGAAGAAGCCAATTTCCTGTCTTGGGTCATTGACTCTTTCAGTGGTAACCAAGGAAGATAGCAGTTAAGCTCAATTATATAGCACTGTTACAATAGCAGAGCTCAGTGGAAATTAAATTATACACAGTAACTGCATCATGCAGTTTTATTATATTTTTCACTTCATATGAATCTCTTTTATGTTATTTATAGCTTCCAATTTATGTAGAATCATGAGCAAACTAGGGAACACTCGTGGCAGCAATTGGTGAGAATAGCCTCCAGCATCATCCCAGGCTACATTCCATTCTCTTTTCCACAAAATTATCAACATTATATATGTCACAGATTGAAACTTTTCATGATAGAAAATAAAGTAATTATAGAAAAAAAGAATAATAGAATAAATAAGTTTACCGGAATTATCAGCGGGGAAAATTTGAAGCTTTTTACAAGAGTATATCCATTTGCTATTTGTAAAACTTTGTAATTTTAAATAAACAAATAACAAAAAGCTGATGTACTTCTGGACATTTTCATGGGCCCATTACTTACACTTGTCTTGGTAGGAAGTGCTGTGTTTCCATCTGTAAACAATATAGCAGGGCTCCCAATGAACACCAGCAGTATTTGTTGGATGGGATCCATATGTTTATGTACTTTATTTTTGTTAGTGACCACAAATGAGGAACAAAGGAACCTCTTTTGTTATTGACCTTTGCTTTCCCATGGTAAAACCTTTCCTGTTTCTCAGACAACAAGGTGTATAGGTATAAGCAAATTATCTCAGTTAATAATAGTCAAATCATGTGTCTCACCTGAGTTTTCATCAACCTTGCCTCTGTGTCTTCAGTAGTCCCTGAAGGCAGCCACCCGAGTCCCCCATAGACTTGCAGCAAAGTAAGGACTCCTTAGGCCTTGATGGGAAAGACCTCCCCCTAACTGCTTGAAGACACCCAGCAGATAGTTCAGGAGAGCTCTTCACATCCTGTAACTTGCTTTTTTATCCACTTAGGATGTTTACAAGCCTCGTCGGAAATATAAACGCCAGCAGGGAGCAGAGGAGCTACTTGATGAAGAATCTCGAATCCATGCTACACTTTTGGAATATGGCAGGTAATGAATGGGTCTTAGGGTCTACTTTATAAAACCATTTAAAAGAACAGCTAATTTAAATTGCATCATTTAGTTCAGTGGGGTTGGCTTCTATCTGATTAAGTTTTCTATTTTCAGGCAGACTTTTCAGCTTCAGGGACTTTTCTCTCTGGTATTGCCCATTTCAATGGGTAGTCTTTGCAGTTCTTCCCTGGAGGTGTATGTAACTTGCACCAGGCTCTGCCGTGCTTAGGAAACTAGGGGGTTTGGAGCATTTGCAGAGGCTACCCAGTGTGCCCTTCATGACCTGCCGTTATTAAGATCTTTAGTAAACAGAAGAAATGGAAACATTTTCACCTGTTTAATACTAAGTTTTTTGTTTGTTTACTTTTATTTTTGTTTTTGTTTTGGGCTTGAAATCAGGGTCTGAGCACTATCCCTGAGTCTCTCTGTGCTCAAAGCTAGCACTCACTCTACCACTTGAGCCACAGTACCACTTCCGGCTTTTTCTGTTTATGTGGTACTAAGGAATCAAACCCAGGGCTTCATACGTGCTAGGCAAGTACTCTACCACTAAGCCACATTCCAAGCCCCAATACTAATAAGTTTTAAAAGAACAATTTTGACTTTCTGTGAAAGTTTTGAAGTTTAAAATACATAATTTGTTTAAAAAGAAAACCAGGTACTTTATATCTTTAATTTTCACTTTAAAAAACTATAAGGACTTAATTCTCTGCATTGATTGACATTGGGTCTTAACATTCATTAATGTCATGCATTCTCTACTTAGGATAACTGATCACTTGATGTAAGTGAGTATGTCTCCTCCTGTTTCCTTTCTTTGTGCTGGGGAAGCTCTGCTGCACATCCCAGCTCTTGTTGGATGGCTGAAACTAACTGCTTCCTCTACTAGCAGTTTTCTGAGTGGAGCAGCTGATGGCTTGCTCCTCTAAGGTACTAGAGAGAACCAGAGGAAGTTAGGTTTCATTATTCCAGCTTCCCAAGGAAAGGCAATAACTTTTTATTTATTACTTGTTTTGAGATAATAGTATGAGGTCAAGTATTTCCCTTCCAAGCATCAAACTAGTCTTTCCCAAAAGAAGTTGAGGTAGCTCTGGCCCCAAACCAAGTGTGGTAGCTGCAGTTAAAGCTTACCAGTTGCTTCTGAGAAGTGAGTGCTCCTTTGAGTTAGGTACCTCCTGCACTTGGTACGTATTTTGGGATCCGGGACAAAATGAAAATGCATGGCCACTTATTGAGAATTGTTAATGATGACAGAGAATTTTAGGACAACAACAGTAACTACATTCAAGACCTTCTGAGTGTGGAGCCCTATACAAATGGATGGGTTGCATTCTCATGACTCCTGCCCCAGAAACCATGTTGGGGTACCTCTATCCAAGTCTAACTCCCAGGTGACCAGGGGAAGCAGCACAACTCTGGGAAGCCAAAGCTGGAAAGAGAAACTCTGGGTCACATGTTCCAAGGCCAGGGAACATTTAGGAGAATGTAGTGGGATTTGTTAATCTCGATTGTATTGGCATTTTTCCATTTTTATAGAAAATCATACTCCTAGGGATGAAAAAAATGCCAGATTCAGTTAATTGGTCAGTTCAGTAAGATATGGTAAAAACATTTCAATATCTTGCTTTAAATTTCTCTTTCACATGGGACCTTTAAGAATACATTTGTTGTTGATAGTTTTGTTGTCACAATGCAAAGGCTGGGTAAACTAGAAGGACCTGTCCATCCTGGACTGGACAATGTAAATTGAGGCCAGCATGGAGCCTGGCTCCCTTTATGGAACAGAACAAGGCACAGGCTTTGTGTGTGATCCTTCTCAAATGTGAATGTGAGAAAGAACAAAAGGTTTGTTCCTGCTGCTGGGGTTGTACTCAGGGCAATTTCTAAACCTAAGGTTGGTACTAAATGAAGACATCAGGTTTTCTTTCTTTTAGAATACATGCTTTGTTTTCTTTTTTGTTTATCTGGCATGTAGAGGATGAGGTTGTGGGAGATGGAGTAGTGGTTACTTTGAACATTCTCATTTATAGCTCTTCTTTGTCATGTAGGCAGTGCTTTCATGTCACATGGAGCAAAAGGCTTTTAGAAAAATTAGCTGGACACTTTAGCAAAATATAGTGAGTGCCTGTTCTGTGCTGGCTCTAAACTAGGCAGAGGGGATATGATCATGACTGAAGTTGTACAGGAATGGTCCTAGCAGCTTTATTCAAAATAGCTCCAACATGGAAACAACCTAAATGTTTACCAACTGATCAATGGTTAAAGAAAATGTTATCCTCTACAGTGGGATATTATTTAGCCACAAAAAGGGATGAATTAATTTTTCTTGCTACAGCGTGAATGAATTTGAAACATTATGCTAATTGAAAGAAGCCAAATGCAAAAAGTCACATCTTGCATGATTTCATGGACATAAATGTCCAGAAGGCAAATCTGTAGAGACAGACAGTAGATTAATGGTAGCTGGGGACTGAGAGAGTAGGATTGAAACTATTAATAGGTACAGAGTTTCTTTTTAGGTTGATAGAACTTTCTGGGTTTATACAATGTTATGTTGATGGTTGCACACCACTAAAAACCACTGAAGTGTATACTTCAAAATAGCAAATTTTATATTATATGAATTATATCTCACTAAAAAAAACAAGAATGCATGGCACAGATTCTCCTTTAGGAGCTCAACAGGCAGGGCCTGGCAAGATAGGAGGTAATTATTATATACAGGACAATGAGTGCTTATAGTATAAGTACAGAAGCACAGGAAGGTAACTTAGTTTTAGGTGGTCAGGGTAGTTTTCCTAAACCTCTGTCTGGGAAGGAGAAATAGATGGGTCTGCGAATTAGGTCACACAGGTTTAGTTGTCTGCTGCTTTATTTGGAAAATCTATAACATTCTAAGGGCTTTAGAAAATGACTATTTGCCACAGGGTATCTTCTGCTCTGATAGTCTCTCCTCAGACTAGAGGCCTGGAGAACAAAGAATGCTGTAGATGCAAAGATACTTAAAGGAATGGGAAGTTTTTTTTTGTTTTTGGGGGTTTTTGTTTTTTTTGGGGGGGGAGGGGGTCCGGTCATGGGGCCTGAACTCTGGGCCTGGGCGCTGTCCCTCAGCTCTTCAGCTCAAGGCTAACGCTCTAACACTTGAGCCACAGTGCCACTTCTGGCTTTTTTCTTTTTGCTTATGTGGTGCTGAGGAATCAAACCCAGGGCCTCATGCATGCAAGGCAAGCACTCTACCACTGAGCCACCTTCCCAGCCCTGGAATGGGAAGTTTTGACCAGATCCCCTGTAGTTCTGGGTTCCCTGGTGCAAAATGGAATGCCTATGAGTTTCAGCAGAAGGGCTTCATTGATCATAGGGAGTGATGGGAACTAGGCTCAGCCAGTGATGACTCCTGTGCTTCACATTTGAGCTGAGATAAGGGTGCTGCCTCTGGCTCCAGATTAGGAAGCTGACTAACAGCCTGAGGAGTCAGGAAGCTGGTGCTACAGCTGCTGGCAAGGGGAACACACTCCTTCTGCAGAAACCAGGAAACCACTGTGACAGTTGCTGGCCCAGAACCAGGCTGCTTCTGGTGTAGCCCATGCCAACACAGTGGATCTTCTGTTTCTCCTTACTTAACTACTCCACATGTCCAGCTTTATTAAGTGTATCTGATTGGTTGGGACCTCGATAGCACTCAGAATCCTAGGTCCCAATGGGTATGGAAAATAGCCTCTTGTTTTCCAGCCTTTGCATTGTAGAAAGCTGCAATCAATACTGATTAAGCCATTCAGAGTGTGCCATAAGATTCTTTACAGAATTTGTGTAGATACTCAAAGTATAACCTTAAGTTAAGTTGGCTACACTTCAGAACTGTAAATTTTTGCCTAAAAGATGAGTCTACTGCCCAGTAGTGACTTTTTAGTTTGTCTAGTTAGATGGCAACCTATTGGAAGTAATATGAAATAATTCTTATGACATACCGATTCCTGCATTTTTAATTTTATTTATCCAACAAACATAAGAAATACAAAATAAAAAAGTAGGGTCATTGCCCTCAAGGAAAAGGATGCAGAAACACAATTAGAAGGTTGGGAAATGAAATAAATACAAGCAGATGCAGGATAAACAGTCAGGACTGCTTATATGCATTGTACACATATGATAGGAGCTTTGAAGAAGCTACTTTAGAGCTGAGGAGTGAGAGGTAACTAGGGAGAGGAGAGAGCAGTGTATGCAAAGCTCCCTGTTCAGGATGTAGTTGGAGCTACAGGGGTGAGTCTGAGTAGTTCACAGGCAGAGCCATGGAAGAGAAGGCACATGAGGCTGCTCAAGCAGTCCTATTTTCTCCAAATGGAAAGTGTTCCATTAGTAGATAGGAATCAGGCCAGTGTGAAGTTGGGTAAGGATTGGGTACAAAGAGTAGGAGGGAATGAGACTGTAAGCTCCAGACCAGTGGAGGCAGCATACTTAAGATATAGCCTGAGCAAGAGTAGAGTGAACTCCCCAATTTGTTTTTCTTAAATAGTTACATGTAATTTTATTTCCTTACAAACTAAAGTATGTATGTAAGGCTAGGTCTTTTGCATTTCATGCTTTTTTTTCGTTGAATAGTTTTTGCATTGTTGCTTTTGTTTTTTTAAGATACAGATTAAGAGAGCCAGAAGATAGACTAATTTAAAGTAAAGGGCATTTGTGTGTTTTTAACTTTTAAGACTGTGTGAAGTGAATCCATATTACTGACATCATGCTTGGATTACGCATAAGAATAGAATACTTGCAGAACTGTTATTGAAGTAATACTAGAAAGCATGTTCAGCTTGAGCAAACACATTCTCATTTGTTCACACAGATAGTTTTTAAGCTTTTAGCTTACATTGTGGCTCTGAAATACATTTCTTGATTCAAAGAGTAATAACTGCACTTATCGAAATGTTGTACTCTATAGTACCCGAATGTTCTCTTTTACAATGTTTGTATAGCAAATAGCATGGCTGGCTCTTTGTTCAAAAACTGGTAGAATATGGTTTTTGGTAAACACCAAATAGCCTAAGGCCTTTTCTGTGTTTTTCCTATAAAATCTTTAAAAATGAGTTTATAATTTATTGTGATTTTTTTTAATAGTAATTGAAATCCTTTTTTTTGTGGCTGGCAGGAGATACGGACTTAGCCGCCAGAGTGAAACAGAAAAGGTAAGACAAGGATCAACAGTAGGAGAGAATACTTGAGAGATGGCAACCCTCCTCTCTTTGGGCCTCTTCCTGATAGTCATAGTTGAGCAACAGCTCACTGGGAAACCCAGGAAGGAAGAGGGAAAGGCTGCTGCTAACCAAGTGCTGGGCCTTGGGAAAGCAGGCAGAGCAGAGATGTGCCGTTAGCTCCTGCATCTCTGTCCTGGACTTTTCAACCTGCCACCTCTGCAGACAATGCAGCTAAAACATAGCAGTCTCATCTCATCCTAGGGCTAGAGGTAAGGATGTTGATTGAAGCCATGGCCTCAGAGTTAGTTAAGTGGAGTCTTGCAGTATTAAGTCTGCTTCCAGAAGTCCCAGTGTACATGTACCATATGATGAGAGGCCTCTGTACAGGTGAGAACAGGATGCTGACAATGAGATAGAATAAATCAATAGCCCTGTCCAGCATCAGGAAGCAAAGTGTGGACGAGCCAGAGAAGTCAGGATGGGCTTTTCCAATTTTATGAAGGAGTCTTAAAGATTTCCATTAGTATACGTATGTATTGTTAATGAGTCGTAATCATCACCAACAGAGCAGGCAGGTAAATCTTATAGTACCAGACCCTTGTTGTGTCCCAAGACCTTTATTAAAGGGCTTTGCGTGTACTTATTCACTGAAACTACTCAATAAGGAAGATACTCCTATTTTTCAGGAAAGAGGCACATGTTCAGAGAACATAAAACACATTGCAGAGATAATTAAATTAGATGGATGGAAGAGATGTAATGAAAACCAAGAACTCTAGACTTGGCAGCCAAGTTCAAGGAAGAACTGTTAATCAGACTGTCTTGAGTATGTCATAATACATTGAGAACCAAAGACCTACATCTAGAGTATACAGTTTGATCCACAGATGAAGCCACTTACAGCTTTGTCCTTTAGACAGTTATTTTAAATTTTTTATGACTGAATCAAAACTTTGACTTAAGTGCTGAACCTTTACCTCTATGCACTCTGATATGTTGTATTACTTTTATTTATATAAATTTTTACTTTCATATCCCATAGTAGGTCTTAGCTGGCAGTTTGAAATAGCACTGCTGTTGGTTTCAGTGATCTGCTCTGAAATTTAAAGTAGAGGGAAGACCTCATCAAAGAGAAAGGGCAAGTTTAGAGATTATGTATGGCCTGGTATTCATTTAATCAAGAAGTTTGGGAACAGATGAGTCTCATCACTCCTACCTGGGCTGCTCATCCTCTGACTAGAGTGTCAGCCTCTGAACTGTCTGTACTCTCTCAGGCCAGTTCAGCTCTCCAGATTAATACATCTCCAGATAAATGTATTTTCTTTCACAGGCTTGTACCTCTTTGCAGTGTTGTCTTTTTTCTGCTGAGTCTCTAATATTCAGTTGTTCTCACATCTCCCTTTCCAGACTGAGGACAAGAAAACAACACTTGCAGCAGGGCTCTCAGCTACAGAAAAAACAGAAGCTCATGAAGAAGATGAGCTTCGAGCAGCTGAAGAGGTATGTGATCAGCCCTCTGAGGTTTTGGGGTTTTTTGTTTTGTTTAATTTTATTGTCAAGGTGATATACAGAGGGGTTACAGTTACATAAGTCAGGTAGTGATTATTTTTCTTGTCTAACATGCTACCCCTTCCCTCATTTTTCTCCCTCTTTCCCTCCCCCCAATCCTCCTCATTTCCAGCGTATTGTCTTGTGAGTATCACTGTTAATTTACATCATTTAAATGATGAAACTGCACACCTTGCAGTTTCATCTCATCACCTGTTGTGAGGCTCACACTAAACAAGATTAAGGAACAAAATCCTGGGCTAGGCAGAGCTTATATAGGCACTTACTTCAGTCTTAAATGGTCAGAATTGCTCACTGCTGCTCCTTCCTTTCCTCTTCCAGCAGCGTATTCAGTCACTGATGACCAAGATGACTGCCATGGCTAATGAGGAGGTAAGGAGTTGTGGGAGGAAAGGGATAGGAATGTGGAGATGAGGACATGGAATCCCTTCTGCTATAGAGGGTCTTCTCCTGGGGTACCACCTTCTCTAAAGCCCTCTCCTCAGTAGTGAGGTCTAATTGTAGGATCATCGGTTGGGAGAGCTTTTTGTAAGTCATAGCATTGCCCTCTAAGAGGGAGACTTAGAAGATGTCACCAAACCTCTGTAGAACTGGAGCCAGCCCTGCCTCTCCATAACCATAGGATCCACCTGTGCAAGGAGCCCCTAGTTTTTATTTCCTTCCAATATCAACTAGGTACACGATGTTTATAATTGATCTTTCTAGAGCTCAACGCCTGTCCTGAGGTTTTGCCATGTGCTTGGAAAGGATCATTTCTTTTGAGACCAGTAACAAACTGTGTCAGTGAAGAGTTATTTTAGAGTCTGAGATTTTTTTTTTTTTTTTTTTGCTCTTCCCTGAATCATTAGCCCCCCTAAATGCCCTGCAGGCTCTCTTTGGTGACCCTTAAGAAGCTGGGGCATGGGACATAGCAGTGAAGCATGGTTTTCTTGGGGTAACCAGAGCCTAGAAAGCTAGTACAATCAGTGTAGGACTCAGGAGATGGGGCACTGGTGGCTCTGACATTTGTCCTTAGCCTAGCCTGTTGTTTCCCCTGTCCATGAATAAGTGGACAAAATCAAATTGTCTTTTTCCCCTGGAATATTGGTTTTCAATAATATGGAGTGTTCAAGATTTCTAGTTCTGTCAAAGACAAGCCATGGACTTGAGAACTCATGTGATTGCAGAGCCGTCTCACCGCAAGTTCCGTGGGCCAGATTGTGGGCCTCTGCTCTGCTGAGATTAAGCAGATTGTGTCTGAATATGCAGATAAGGTAGGTGGGTGTCTGCTGGAGTTTGTACCAGATATGCTTTGTTCGACTTCCTTACTCTTCCCCTGCAGTGTGGAATCTGGTTCTAATTTATTCGCCACATTTGTCAAAACCACAGATACTAGGCTTTACCATGCTCAGCCCTCAGCATTTGCCCATTAGCTAAATTAATTTTGTTCTACAGTACCCATTTTTCTATAAATATTAAGAGAAAATCTGTCTCTGAGAGCAGTGATCACATTTGATACATCCTTGCCTGAGGTAAAACAGAAGCATTTTTTTCTTCCCTATCACAGATCTTATAACTTGAGCTCAGTTTGGTGATTGGGTTGAAGAATGAGGCTTTTTGCCACTTAGGAGATAAACCCCATAACTCAGCCAAGCCCAAGGCAAAAAAATTTTGTTCTGCTTTATTAAAAGAGTATAGAATGAACCAAAACCTCACAACCATATTTCAGCATTAAATTTTTTCCATCCTGAGAGAGGCAGTAGGACCTTGAATATTTCAGGAAGGGAGTGATTAATCATTATGCACCTAACTGACTCTGGCCTGGCTGAGATGTAGTGTGGGCATGCTCAGATTTACAAGGCATTGTTTTACATCCCTCCTTTCTCATCCACACTCAGTCTACTTTCTTAAAATGCTGTGTGCTAGATAGAGCATTTAGCTTTACTTCTCTTGTCTTCGAAGCCTTGAGAACAAACTAGTTCCACCTCCTCTGAAATGATTGAACAGGTGGTATGATCAGGAGAAAATTGTTGCCTGTAACCTGGGATATGTAAACTACAGTAAACATAGGAAGAGATCCTCTCTTACCAAGGGAAAGGGCTTCTGAGTAAGACAATGAATGAGACAGTGTCTAGATGGGGCTTCTTTATTGCTCTGTCCCCTAAGTACTATAGATGTTTCCAAACACGCACTTTCTAATCCAACTTTCCTAGATTATCTTCCCATTTGCTACATAGAAAGGATGAAACCAATCAATGTGTCATTCAAGATATGACCAGAAAAAAACAAAACAGAACATTTGGTTATGGTAAAAGTGGAAATAAACTCAGAAGACATGTAGATACAATCCTGAAAAGAATGATTCATTTACTTTCTCCAGAAGAAATTACTTTGGCCCCTTGTTAGCACCCACACCTGGTAGCAAGAGTATAGCTTTGTTCTACCCTGTGTTGCCTCAGTATTCCTGATGCCAGATTTTAGGGAAAAAACACAACTAGATAGGGTTGTCATTTCTATGGAGACTGATTCCTGTGTTTAAACTTGTCAGTAATGAGCAGATAGGACCTCTGATTGTTGTAAGAGGAAAGTGAGGAGACAACTCCTCTGGGGGTTGGAAATGCATCTCTTCTTCTATCCCTCTTCTTACCTAGGAAGCCAAAAGCTTCCCTTCCTCTCTCAGTCAGCCCCACATTTGCCACGTCTCCCCCTGGGCTTCTCTTTCCCATCTCCTGTGTTTTCTTTTCTCACCATTTTACAGTGATCTTGATCCACCTTGGGCATTGCATGCTACCATTAATCCTGGACTGTCTCCACTTCCATTCCATTATTCTAGAACAGAGTAAAAATAGAAGTAATTTTGAATGGAAAGCAGTGTCATCTCTTTGCAAGGATATGCCCAATTAAACTTTGTATGGAGAATTGGAAAAGGTCAAATGCCCATTGCTTGTCTGTTTCCATCAAGAAGATTATTTGCCATTGAAATGGATGTTTCTTAAAATTAAATTGCCATTAACCATATTCTGGTATCAGTTATTCATATCTGAATGTTATCTTCTGTTTATACCCAGACTTCCACAGTTATGCACAGTTGCAGTCCTCATTTATGTCTGAGAGTAGTAGAATGGTACAGTAGTTATAAACTTAACATGTGGAGTTGAATAGTATCTTGGTTCACATTTGTCTTAATTTCTCAGCTATGTGAGTTTGGCCAATTACTTAATTTTCTTTTTCCCAGTTTCTTCTACAAGAGAATATTACTTTCCTCTCAGTTGTAAAGATTAAATGCCTCGGGGCTGGGAAGGTGGCTCAGTGGTAGAGCGCTTGCCTTGTATGCATGAGGCCCTGGGTTTGATTCCTCAGCACCACATAAGCAAAAAAGAAAAAAAGCTGGAAGTAGCGCTGTGGCTCAAGTGGTAGAGCACTAGCCTTGAGCTGAAGAGCTGAGGGACAGTGCCCAGGCCCAGAGTTCAGGCCCCACGACCGGACCCAAAAAAAAATTAAAAAAAAAAAAAAAGATTAAATGCCTCAAACACTGCTTGGCACATTATTGCTCTTGAACTATGGGATTTCACTGTTGTTGCTGCTGCCTGATATCTGAAACAATTTCTGTGTTTCTGTACTTTACATTTATTTGGATACCTGTATAATCCTGTAATAATACAATACAGTTCACTAAATAGTTCCTCCTTATTAGACTTTACATTTTTTTCTGCTTGCCTTGTAGATAATACCTGAAATTGAACCAGTAGTTTCTGCCAAGGTTTTCTGGGACTGAGATAGAAGTTGTAACAATATAAAATACTATCAATAGTGAATGACCCTCTCGTCTCTCTCCTCATGCTCTAGACATTTCTAGCTTTTATGTTCATTTGTCTAGCTTACTATGTACTAGGTATAAAATGGATTCCTTTAACCCACCAAGGTTTGAAAGAGGTTTCATGGTTTGGGAGAAGTCAAAGGTTTGAGGCTTTGTTCTGTGTTAGATGCTATCAGAAAGGATGCATCTGAGAATAAGAATCATAATAAATTCTGTATGACCCATTGCAACAATGAGATGTACAAGACACTATGTCAAAAAATGAACTTTACAATTAGTTGGGGGTGGGGCTGGGGAGGAATATAGATGTGGATATGGGAGGGAAGGGATGGTAGGGGAAAAACAAAAGGAGGAGGCAACAATGCTTGGTAAGAAATGTATTCATTACCTTGCTCAGTATTTTCACAATATACTTATTTTTTTAAATTCTATATATAAGACATGGGGGGAAAAGGAACCAATCAAGGTAAAAGCTGTATAGCAAGTATAAGGGATATTTGGGCATTTTTGTGATTTGGGTGATGTTTTTAATTCTTTATTTTCAAATGTGATTATAGAGTTGACCATGCTTTTGCCTTGATCACAGTGGCCTGGTCTGTTGTTGGTGCTCCTTGAAGTTGTTTATATATAATATCCAAACTTAAGTTATGTATGCATGTTAGCTCCCAGCAACATCAAGTGCTTATGGTACAAGGCTAGCTCTCAGATGGCAGAAGCTGCTTTTTTTCTTCTTAGATTGTTTCTATAATTATTTGCTGCATAGCAACATGACCATAAATGTAACTTTAAATACTGTAAATTTATGATCTCAGTTTCTACCGGTCAGAAATTGGCCAGATTTGGCAGATTACTTTGTTGCAAACTCTCGCAAGACTAGGGAAGGATCTACTTCCATGCTTATGTGCTCGGCATTTAACTCTTGTGGCTCTTTGACAATTACTACCCTCAGTTCCTTGCCTCATGGGTTTTCTCAACAATATAACATACTTCATCAAAACCAGAAAGAGAAGGTATCTTTGTGTAGGATGGACATGTAACATATTGTAACATATGCATGTAATCACATACAAGATGTCACCTTTGCTATGTTCTTTTGGCTGGAAACAAATCACAGCTGTTATCTGAACTCGGGGAAAGGGTTACACAGTGAACATCAGGAGATGGGATCACCGGGTCATCTTAGGCGTGTGCACAGTTTACTTGTCCTTACTGCTGTAGCTTAAGTGAAATTAGGCACTGTATTTCACCTATAATTGATTCTCTTGCCTTCACATTTTAGCAGTAAAACAGAAGTGTTGGAAGTAGATGAAATGGAGGAATGCTCAAGAGGTAACATTGGTGAAACTTAAGAAGAACCCAAGCAAGACTTTTATCAGCTTGTACTTTTTTTCTTAGTAAAGAAAAAGGACAAGATAGTTTTGGGGAGTATAGATAAAGTGTGAAAAATATGTCATAACTAAGGAATAAATTGTGTAGCCTGTCTGGAACAAGTGTTTGCAAAGTCAACAGGCATTGGCTATAAAATGAGGTAGAAAACATGTGCTTTTCTTTCATTTGTAAAATTCACAAGTTCTTCTAACAGTACAACATGATAAATAATCCATGTGTTTCTAAGCCACTCTCTGAGATGTGTAACTCAATTTAATATGGTTCCTATAAAACAGCAGGAAAGAGGAATGTTGAAGACACTTCCAGATTTATAATTTATGAATATCCAGAGGCTCTGGGCCAAGAAGTTTCATCTCCCTTTGTCTCTTTGTGTAATACTCTTGTGTAATACTTTTCCCTGGAATGTACTCAATGAAACTTCATTGTGCTTTTTGGTGTTGATGTCTAACATATTGCTTCTTACTCGTAACCCACTGCTGCCTCCACCTTTATACTTTATATGCAGTTGAAACTCCCTATTAATGTGGATGTGGAACATGGTTTACCCTTTGTTACCTAAGGGCCTCTCTTAGTGTCTGTCAGTGCCAGTGATCAGTAAATAAATGTGTGATATAGCCATTTTTCTAGTGAAAAAACTGTAGATTAAAGTGGTGGAATAATTTGTCCAATACTATGTAGCTAGTAAGCTCCAGGTTTGAATACTTTTTTGTGTGTATGTGAATAGGTACTAGGGCTTAAACTCAGACCCTTAGTACCTTCTCTGAGCTTTTTTGCTCAAGGCTAGTCTACCATCTGAGCCACAAATTTGCTTCCAGCTTTTTGGTAGTTTATGGAGATGAAAGTCTCACAGACTTTACTGCCTGTGCTGGCTTTGAACCTTGGTCCTCAAGTCTCAGCCTCTTGAGTAGCTAGAATTACAGGAATGAGCCACCAGTGCTCAGTAGGACTGTGTACTGTTGAAACCTGTCTCCTTAGCTAGGTGGAGCAGTTGTAGCCTCTGCCATCTGTCATTCTGCCTCCCAGGCTTTGCAGTGACTGTGCCTCCTCAGGCTCTACTAAGCATCCTGC